CCTGACTGAACAGTGCCGTCTAATGCATGGTGAATTCTCTATATAAAAACGTTTTATCTTGTTTTCATTTTTATAATTTGTTGCAGCGTCCGTCCTGAATATTGAATGAGTACCGAATTTGTCTTGGAAACTTATTCTGTAAAAATCTGCAGCATAAAAGTAAACATAGGGCAAAAAAAGTGATTCTGTCCGAGGTCTAAACGATAAACAAACAACGCCTGATAGTTCTGTTTACCTCAGGGCACAGTGATGTAAAAAGGTTGGTTTACGCGCTACCAGATTTATGAAGTAAACGTGTAGCGAGCCATACAAAAAAATCCGACCTAATTTTTCATTTTGGCCTTTCTTTTAGACAGAGAGGTAGAACCGATACGTTATAACGTGTAACTGGCTGCTACCAAAGATTGTCTTGTCTTGACGGCCTTTGTAGCATAAAATTATCTTTCTGGACTGTCCGATTACCCTTATAAAATAAAGGTGGTGTAGGTGGGCAAGTAGGTTATTTTGTTTGGGAAGAATGTTTTTCTAAGCCTAATCTACTTTGATCAAAGGTGATTGCTATTTATTGGGTGTACATAAAAGACTTTTAACTCGATGTAAGATTTTACATGTTTCATTCTTGTACTGGTGGCAAATTATTTTTTCTCTAAAATCACCCAACTCCACCCTTACAAGTCATATGGATCTCTCCAGTTAATTGATTTGTGGATCACAAGTTTATTGTTTGATTTAAATTATAAATTTATTAACTGGAGCTACACTTTTTAGCCTTGGCCAAATCTGTATATTAGCAGAAGTACGTTTACGAACGTGCAATAATTATGGAGTAGGTAAGGTTAACAGACTTTGTAACACAACAAAGAAAAAAGCGGCAACAGTACAACCATACTACGTCGAAAATCGAGCCAAATGTTAAAATACCACATCTTACATTTTTGATCAAGTGCCTTTATAATTTATGCCGAGCAGGTGAAACAGCAATCCCAAGGAACTCTGGGTATTGTTTCAAGGGGCAGGGCTGAGACGAAGTTCTAGGCTCCTGCGAGATCTTGTCAAACTCCCCCGCCCTGACCCCACCCTCGGGATACTGTATAACGTCAAATCTTTAATCATTCCCCACCTACCGAAAAGGAAATACAGTCAACCCCCCGGGGATGCCCGGACCCCCTACCCTTGGGTTAACATTGACTGGTGCATAAATGAGCGAGCAATTCTTGCAAGAACCACTTTGACAAACAGTAGTTAGGGAAAGCCGGATCTTGGTGTAGATGAGGATCAGCAATGTGGAATAACACTCAAAATTGAAGGCAAGGCCGATTGAACTTTGCCCAATATTTCGACTTGACAAGTTTTGCCGATTCGAAATAATGGGCCCATAAATTACCAATCCTTAGCTGTCTGATCAGCCTTGCCCTCAATGAGGGGGATTTGCGGTCTATAAAAAACCGAACAACCGCTCTAAAAATTACTCAAAACCGAAAAACCGGCTCAGTTGTCAAACCCTAGCCTAGATGTTAAACGTTAATGTTATGCGGAACATAAGGAACAAACGGTAAATGTGAAGAACAATTACCCAAAAAATCTGTCGGCCGTCTGTCGATAGACTTGGGGAGGTGTTCTTCAATTTTGCCGTCTAAACAATTATCACATCATCATCACAGTATCAGCACTATCTATGGATGTAGTAAAACCGGCATATCTGCCCGAGGATTGTCCAAGAGAATTAACAAAGATCCTCGATTGAATAGCAATAGATGACAATGGGGGGGGGACTTTTGCGTTCACAAAAAGCTTTCCTATACCCGGGGGGGAGCGTACTTCCTTATAAGAGGCTAATTGGGATGTGCCGCTGGATGGGGGTCGCATTTTCACGACTGGATTGACCATAATGGGGTCGCATTTTCAATAGAGTTACTAGAATGGGGTCGCACATTTTCTGATTTTTAGGGGTAAGACAGTTCTTCATATTTGCGGTTAGCAAACATACCAGAATGTTTGTACTGCAGATGAAAAGTAAAATGTTCTTCAGTCAATCTAAAAAATGGGCCAATTCATAAAAATAGAAAGTGACTAAGTTGGGATCGCGAAAATTACATATTCGCCTGAAAGTGACTAAGATGGGGTATGTAATTTGCCACAGAATAGACTATAATGGGGTAGGGGCTCTGAGAGGCCAATGGCACATACCAAGCAAAAATTAACCTACTTCCCCGGGCTCCTATAGCTGTGAACTTCAATTAAAAATCCAGAATCCCACATTGCAGTTCGACCTGGATTGACTGTAAAATACAAACATATGAAATAGCCAAACATCTGACTGCACAGAGACCCACAGAGGAATCTAACCTGCTTTATTTTTGCCAAAACCCGGAAGCTAAATAAAAAAGCGAAAAACCGGAAACCGCAACGGACAACCGATAAAACCTAAAAACCGAAGTTTTTCAGCGCAAAAACCGAAAAACCGACCTATAAAGTGGCCAAAACCGAAAAACCGAAAATAACAGCGCCCTCTTCTTCAATTTTAAGTGAAAAGCGTGAAGTTTCTTCTATGCGCTACATAAACGTGTTCTCCGACCAACCTCAAGCCGTCACACTTCCGCATACATGTGATGTTGTACGCGAAAACGGGGCCTGGAGATGAGGGCAGAGGCGAGCAACGAAGGTTTGTCGAAAGCAATAATGGATGTATTACTGGCGTCAGAAATAGGCGATAGCAAGAAGCTTGAACAGCTCTTGGCCGCTCAAAATCCAGAGGTCAACTATAGTAACGATTCCAAGGAAACTCCACTACTTCTTGCCTGTAAATTCGACCATTTCAGTTGCTGTTCGCTTCTCCTTGAGGCAGGAGCGAGCGTCGATCAAAGCGATAGTGTTGGCAACAGCCCATTGCATTTTGCCAGAGATTATAACATAGTCGCACGTTTGCTTGCACTAGGAGCCGATCCAGCGGCGAAAAATGTGAAAGGACGAACACCTTTGCACGAAGCTGCTCTTTGGGGAACCACTGAAGTATTTAAAACTCTTCTTGAAGAGTTTATAAACAGGAAGCTCACGGTCGACGTCTCCGACGAGCAAGCATTTACTCCCTTGCACCTTGCCGTGTTTTCTGAGGTCGAAGAAAACATCTTAGAAAAGATAAACCTACTCATTTCGGCAGGAGCTGGAGTAGATAAACCGGGTCTCCATGGTTTCACACCTATAAGGTTGGCTTGTACGAATTTTAACTTAAAAGCAAGCAGTGTTTTACATTTACTAAGATGTGGCGCGAGCCCTCGCGTTATCGACGAATATGGAAATATTTGTTTGCATGCCATATTCAAGATGAATCCTTATTTCTACCCTTCTGAGGAAGATTCCCTGGAGGTGACAACGATTCTCGAAGAATTAGTGAAATTGGGATGTGATGTTAACGTCAAGAACAGAAATGGCCAAACTGCTGTGCAGTATGCAGCGTACAGCGCACTTCCAGAGCAGGTGAAGACCCTTCTGGAGTGTGGTGCCGATCCATCGATTGCTGACCATATTGGAAGAACACCATTGCATAAAAGTATGTTTAACAGAGACTTTAAAGTTGCTGAGATTCTCTTGGAGTATTCAAAGAGCCCTTGCGTGGTTGATCACTTAGGAAGAATTCCTCTTCACTATGCTGCAACTTCTGGCAAGCCTGAAATTATCAGTACCATCATCCCAGCAATGTCATCGCCTCCACAAGGAGTTGAAAATTTCATGAACAAGCAAGACAATTTTGGGATGACTCCTCTTCATTATTTCCTATTGCATAAAAGGACTGAAGAGTCAATTCTAAGTTGTCTTTTGCAACATGGAGCAGATGTAAAAATTGATCTTCCTTCTGGTGTGACTTGCATCGAAATGGCCAGGTACTCCAGGGATGTTAGCCAGATCATTTTCCAGGTAGCCAATCCAGGAAAGATTCACCCCTTACCATTACATGAATTCCCTGGCTCCCAAGAGAATTCCTTTTTAAAGGACTATCTTCAACCAATTTGCATTGTCAGTGATAGAGACATTGACCCCGAAACTTTGAGGCCAACTCCAAATGTCCAAGAGTACCTTGATCAAATCTCCTTGTGGACCATTCCATCAGATGAGCAAATAAACCTTCAGAATGGCATAAACTCTTCGATTGAGAAGTTTGTCAGGCATCTATGTGATGAAATCGCCAGGATGGATCCTAGATTTGCCTCCAATGTTCTGCCGAGTGGAAGCACCTATGAAGGGACAAAACCTGTAACAGAAGCCTCATTTCTGACAGACTTCGACTATATGATCTGTTTAGAAAGACTTAGCGAAGAGGTCATTGTTGAGGAAGTACCAGCCGTCGTAGGACACGTTAGGGTTGCGCACAAGCAACCGACAAACCAGTCCAAATTTAAGGAATTTTTCTCTGAAGGCTATCTTGTCGGAGACAGAGTTTCAAAGGCATTTTGCGATCTCATGGTCCTAGTGATGAACCAACCTAAAATCTGGCAAGATGGTGACATGGAGTGCCCCTGCATCCCTACTTTGCAGAGTACCACTGGACGTCCAAATATAAAGCTTAGTCTAGTTTGGAAGAAAGATGTTATGAATGCAAGAAGCGTCAGCATTGATATAGTTCCAGCGATTCAGGTCAAATCTCTGTGGCCATCATTTGCAAGACAAGACAGCTCTATATTGACCCCCGATACTCGGGAATGTCATGTTGTACTCAAACAACCCGATGTTGGATTGAACAGCACAGAACATTTCGGGAATCCCGCTCATCTTCTAAGAGTGACCTTTTCTGTTGCTGAGCGAGAGATATTTCTTAAAATGCCAGATGTTGTCAAGAGAAGTTGTGTGGTTGCAAAGGTTCTATCAAGGAGAACAGCAAAAGTTCCATTCTCAATGATTTATGGAGGTGAGTACGGTACAGCAAAGATTTTAACAAAAAATACCTTCTCCAGTTATGTTCTCAAGACAGCTTTGTTTCATGAGCTTGAGGCACTCCATTTGAACGACAGCAACAACTCTACAAACAAGTTGACTTTAAAAACACTTGTATGTGGGATATTTACAAGACTCTCTCAAGCTGCAGGGGAACGCTTTTTACCTAGTTTCTTCGTACCAAGGCACAACCTATTCCACACGTACAAGGAAGACAGTTGCACCGAAAAAATCAGGTACTTGATAGTACAGCTGTTGAACATAAGTCTGAAAGAGGGTGGTAGAAAATTGGCTGTCCAGAGCAAAAGTTTCCCAGAGAAAAGGAACACTGATATCATGGCCAAGAGGCACAGGAAAAGTTCAACCATCCTGGCAAAGCTTGGTACTGACTGGATAAACTGAACTTACGCTGTAATCAACGTGTTTCAGAAAATGGTTTTCGGAGCCAAAGAAGGATTCTTGCGGATTTTCTAAGTATTATGACTTTCTATACGTCGAGATTTTCTGGCACCAGAATGACAATGTGATCTCTCGAAGTGTTTTTGGTTGTCGATCATGTGTTGATCTCGAGAGCGATTTGGGCAACTAACACCTTCAGTAGCTTCAAAAAAACAATGACTAAAGCTACAAAGCAAAGGATTGTACTAAAAATTTTCAGGGGCGTACCTGTGATTAAATTTCTCCAGAGTTTTGCTTTAGATTTCCAAATATTTGTCTGTAATTTTTCCCGGGACTTAATACCCTGGGTTCAGGGTAGGGACTTAAAGACAAATGTATACAAAATTTAAAAAAGTGGTTCTAGGTCTTCTAGGGCATGTAACGCCCAAAATTTTTTTCAGAAGAATTCTTAGGAGTGAAGCTTAAGTTTACAATTCATATTTTTTTCAGAACAGCCGTTTTACAGAAATTATTCGACATTAGCATGATTAGATTCTTATACAAACACTGTATTTTCGCACGCGGTTGCCTTGTCTGTTAATGAAAAACCTGTCAAGAAAATACCACAGGTAAATATAACCCAGGCTCACTTTTTGTGTCACGTACGGGTTTCATACAACATGAGAACGTATGGTGCGAAGTTTAGGTCTGGAAATGTGCTAGAAAATGGCAATAAGAATCGATGAAACTTACCATGTGGCGAGTTATTGTTGTCCTTAATATGTACACGAAGTTTCGGGAAAAATAGTGATATACTCACGTTATATGAAACCCGTACGTGACACAAATAGTGCTCCTGGGTTACCGAGGAAAATACTTTTGTTGATGAACGTGCCAGAAGCTGTTGATACTACGTGATGCCGAGCCGGGATTGTCTAAAGGCCTCTTTGTTCTAAGTTGACATGATTTTGGCAATAATTCAAAAAGATAAAAGCTATTACGAGGCTGTCTTATTGGGTTATTACACAGTGCCGGTTACATGTATGAGCTTGTTGAATAATGTTTTCATCGCTACACTTCTTTCTTGTCGGTAAAATCATAAAAGACCATCTGCACTACGTTTCAAAAAGAAACATACCTTTCATAATTGCATCTAGCTAAATAGGAATATCAACGAAAATTGCATAGGTCAACGTATGGACGCGTAACCCGATTCACACCCCCTCCTCACGTTACTAAGCTGATATTCAGGTGATATCACAGTGCGGAAACTAAGAGCACATGAGGAACTTAGCCATCTACCACTCAAGTGTCAGTTCTTCGACTCTTCGACAAATTATTTACTTCAAGGAGCTTGATTCGCAATGGGTGATACACCTTCAAAAGAGGTGGGTATTGCATCAACGTCGGTAGAGTTGAAGATGATCAACGCGCGAAACGAGGCTCATTGTGCTTTCTTGAAACGCAAAAGTCTCGAAAAGTGGGCCTAAGTCGACGATAACAAGCACGTCAATGCTTGTACTTTATTTGCAACTAAAAATTCCTTAATCACTAATGCAATCAGTCTAAATCAAGAGAACGTTATTATTTATGGCGGAGATAGTAGTGCTTTGAAAAGAATTGTTGATATTTACCAAAAGCATAGTCATGATAGACCATGAAATCCTTGGACCCGGGTCTTTCCAAAGATAGATCGCAGAATCTTGAGGTGGCGCCTCGCGCCGTTACATTTACCAAGAACTCATGATTAGGCCACCTTCCTGAATTTTCATCAACAATATTCAAAAACTGTCAAACGTCGAATTCGATTATGTTTGAAAGTCCTTATTTCTTTTCGGAAATTCGGATACTTTGCGATACGAAAGTCCTTCAAAGCTCTATTATGTCGTTAAATTACACAAAATGTTGTGTCTATTTAGGAGGAAGAAAGAAAGAGGAGAGAAGAAGAGGAAGAAAAAAAGAAGTGGGAAGAAGAGGATAGAAGAAGGAGGGAAAAAGAAGAAAATTTCATGGAAGGGGGAGGTGACGGTTGTGCCGGAGGATGTGGTGATGGCGGCGGTTGTTGAAATTCCCAACTAAAAGGATTTCAGACTGAAGAGGAACTGACGCAGAACTTAAGCACATCACTGATATCATCGTAGTCTTAACACGGCAAAATCATGAGTACACAAACTGGTTGATTTAATTAATTCCTGTCTGTAGCACAACAGAATACAAATGTTTCTTTGACAAGCATAATTAACGCAAGGTGAAGTTTAATGACGCTTTGTAAGAGGTCTAAGAGAAGACAGAGAATGAAACTGAATATCCTTAGCGAATGCCGACGATTTTACTATTTTTGCACAAAATTCTTTCTTTTTTTTTTCAACAACGATAAAAGAATCGTAGGTATTTTTGTTTATTATCGAATTACACCTAGCTAACAGCTTAGGAGAACGTTAAATTGAGCAGGCAGGTGAACAGCAAATTCAATTAAAGGTGTTAACTTTTAATCATTAATTTCAATTAATCAAGGGTTCCAGTTGGCTGAAATCATAAAAAAAACAGTGAGAAACATAGCCTGCGTGGCAGGCGCAAAAAGGGGAGGGAGAGGGGGAGGGAGAAAAGCACGAAAGAGGGGAAAGGGAAGGGAGCGCCTGCTATAAGAGCCGGTGTTTTTGTAATCCGCCCACCATTTTCTCAACTAATCTGATAATGTCACTGTCAATATGTAACCAATCACAAGTACGGGGCTTCTCAGCATGGTCCGAACTTAACAATTACTTTGTTTTTAATACCGGAAATTGTCAAGTTGAGGTGCCTTTTTCAAGTGATATCATAACCCGGGTATCATAATCGAGCGAAATGAAACATTTTTACTGTTCTTGCTCCCGCAGCAAACACGACAAACATAGACTACGAGCAGTCTCTCATTTTTTTACTGCTCGCAGTCTACGACAAACAATGATCAGTTGTTTGTGAATACACAAGACCTTTTATCTTACAACCTCATCAAGCACCGTGATGGTCCCCCGGGGGGGTACTCCCATATGAAACAGACCGGGATGCTCGTCGTCTCGCTTAGGGGTGTAAATTTTGGATTAGGGTCTCGCTTAGGGTGTTCCTTGCAAAGCGCGAATATTTTAAGCCACCAATAGCCTGCGAAAACATCCGTTTCTCCTCGCTCTTCGTTGATGGGGACGTTTCGCGCGGAACGTCCCCGGCGGCGAAGAGCGAGGAGAAAGTTTTCGAAGGCTAAGCCACCAAGGTCTCGTTTAGGGTTCCGCGAAGAAAAACAGAATTACGCGAAGAGCAGAAGTCAAATTTTCTTTTTAACTTGTTTTGTTAACCTCATTACAGTCTGTGATTATAAATCAAAGATTTCTACAAATAGTATAGAACATTAATATATAGATTTAGCCAGGGCTAAAAGCGAAGCTCCAATTTTAATAAATTTATAATTTGAATCAAACAATAAACTTTTAATCCACAAATCATTTAACTTAAGGGCACATTCATGCGACTTGTGAGGGAAAGGCTAAGTTATTTTAGAGTGAAACATCTTACATCGAATTGATAACCTTATATGTACACCCAAAAAATAGCAAACATCTTCGATCACATTCAAGATCACAGTAGATTAGGCCTCGAAAACAAATTCTTGGAAAACAAATCACGCC